CTTCTTCTTCTTCTTCTTCTTCTTCTTCTTCTTCTCCTCTTCCTGTTCGGACTACTGTAGCAGCAGTCGAAACAGAGTTGATTCTTGCAAATTATAGCAGGAAAAATATAGACTAAAAGCCCTAGATGTAAGCTTTAAGTCGCCTTTCCATCCAAGTTTAGCGTTGTCCTTTTATGACCCTTTGTTTCTCTTAGATCAACAGCTCAGAATAACTTATAGTGAAGAGAGTCTATCCCCCCTCCCTTGTTGGATATAAGATGATTCTTGCAATTATATATTAAAAAGCTTAGAATGTAAGCACCAAATCATTTCAGTTGAAGATTAGGATTGACCTTTTATGATCCTTTGGTTTTCACAGATCAACAGTTCAGAATTGAGGGTCTATTCCCTCCCTCCCTCCCTCCCTCTTTCCTTCTCTTTTTTATCTCTTTTTTACTGATCTATGACAGAAGATACTACCAAAGCCAAAAGACTGAAGTTTGTTTACCTCATAAACAAATAAACCTATTGTGAAGTCATAAAACTTTTGTCAATTGGCGCATACATAGGAAGTAACCTGAGGTCCATGGAATTTTGGGACCCTGCTGGTTAGAGATTCAGTGAGAAAAGATTCTTGGAAATAGTGTTGCACAACAGGAAATGATTCTTGGAAACCCATGCTTCTACTCCATTACTCATGAATTTCTTGTAATAAGGGAGCAAACAAATAGAAATGCCAAAAACTTAAGAGAGATATAAACATGCTAAAAAATAAGGTATGAAATCAGTAAGAGAACCTGAACTTTAGATGTATGATGAATTCTATAAGTTATTAAATTAAGATCTAAATCATGTCAAATGGATAAAAAGTGAAGATCAATGAGCTGTAGCAAAGAATAAGGAGATTAAAAAGCGGTGACTTTATTTTCAGATATTATTAAATGAATATCATGTTAAGAACTTAGGATCTTTATGGAAAGTAAGAACATAAAGTAATTCGTAAAATTGTGCTTTAGAAGTTGAGGAAGCCCTAAAAAACGAAGGTGATGGCTTTGTAGTAAAAGATTGGAAGTACATACTACATAGGTGAGATGGGCTTATGATGGTTAACAGCATTGTTTAATATGATTATTAATTCGAAAAAAAAAAAAGTCTAATCAGGAAAAAGAAATGTTCCCTATATATAAAAGCAAGAGGATAAACAAATTTTCACGAATTAGCATAGGATTCAGCTTATAAGACATGCTATGAAACTCTTGGAAATGAAGATTGAACTGACTAAGACATAAAAATAGCATTTCAAAAAACCATTTTACTTCATGCCAGCAATATCAATTATGGAAGCTGTCTTTTACTTAGGAGATCAGTAGAAAAATTTAGAAAATGATCTCCAACTCTCCATATGGTATTTATTGGTTCCTGGTTGGTTTTATGAAAGAAAGGAGCTTCAAGTAGGTATATTGATATCATTAGGTACATGCATGAAGATGTAATAATAAATGTTAATAAGAAAGACGAGAGTTTACAATCACAATGGTTTGTACCAAAGACAAGTGCAAGTCCATGTTCTTTTGTATTAATTAGGGATGAACTAACTAAAACTTATAGAGGTACCACAGTGTATATTATTTGTTGATGATAGAATATTGATTAATAAGACTAAATATGGACTAAATGCAAAGCTAAAACAATGGAGAGATCTTTTAGAATCAAAAGGTTTTACATGAGTCAGACTTGACAGAATACATGCTTAAAATATTCTGTAATAATGCAGATGACATTTGAGAAACCAAACCTCAAATTGTTGTATTCATGCATATTGAACATAAATATACATTCTTGTTTACTAGAATTAACCCTACATGAACAATATAGGCCCAATTTCCCACTTCACCGGTATATCGAAACAAATAAGAAAGGAAGAAAGAACGGTTCATGTATTATATGGTTCAAAATTAAACCTGCAATAAACACTGTTGCTTGGACATCCTTGGCTAGCTTAATCCACTGCTCTAGTGAAATTTTCCGAGGCAGATCATTAGCTATATCAAATCCCATAAACCAATTGTTCTTGTTCAAACCTTCCATAATATCAATCATCACTTGATCCCGCAAGATAGATGTTAATGCAGCCCTAGCTGGTTCAATTGCCTCTATACATGCAGCAAGAACTTCCTCTGTTGTATGTCGTAGCACAAGAGAATAACTGTAGAGTAGAGCAAAAATTGAGACTCATTGAACAAAGAATGAAAATAAGTTGAGCCTCATTGCTTTACATATATGTAAAGCAAATTCTATTAGTATTAGATTGTACTTAACATTTATGCTGCTTCAGTACAACATGAATGATTTTATCTTTGAAGAAAATGCATGCTGTTAAGGTTTTGATTGATCTTGTCAAGGAAAATTATGAAGGGAACAAAATTTAATACCACCAGCAACAGATATGTTTTCATTTACATATCCATAACACAATTAAAATGTAATTTGTGAACAATTGTAAAATATATAAATAAAATACTTACGGTAATGACCAAACTGTTCTAGAGGAACCACTTTTCTCCTTATTGTGGTCCACGTTAGAAAAATATTCATTTGTGGGTGCCAGCAAACATGGAGTAACTTCAAGCTGCAGTCACCATTTAGCAGAAAGAAAGATATTATAAACGCTAAATTGCACTTGTATCAGAAAAGAAATTGCAGAAAACCCGATACCATCAATCTTGATTGTTTTATATTCGTATCTCTTATCTTACTTTTCTAACATGAAAAAAGTAATTATCGATCTTACTGTATAAAGAATTAATATGTTTTATTAGTTCAATCAGAAAATGTAATTAAATTCCTAATCTGCTTACAAGGATGGACACAAGCACAGGAATCGGCGAATATGTATCCAAGACTCAGAAAAACATGGGCATGCAGACATGTCATGGAAAAGTATAATAAGATAAGAGATATGGACACACAAACAATGGCCAATCTCCTTGCCAAGAGATTAAGCTGCACAAGGATGGACTGTATCTGTAACAAGTTGGAGCTTTATGATATTTAAGCTCCAACTTGAGTTTTGAGGGGGTGTTAGAAATAGCACATATATAGGCGGCAGGGTATAACTGTCATTGTAATGTTTTTAACTTAAGGGTATTTAGATAATTTCACCAATATTAAAATATAATAAAAGAATGGTGGCAGAGGAGATCCACAAAATCTTAGCTCTCTCGTGCTAGCCCTATTTTTCTTCTTCTTCTTCTTTCTCTTGTTTTCTTAGTGGTCCATTACTCCATTTATCCAAGGAGACCATGGTAGGACCTGACCGTGAACAGACTTGATTTCGTCCACTTCCACCTTCTAGAATCCTATGTTTGCATATTAATTTGTTGACTCTGAAGCAAAGCTACAGGTCAGTTACTTGCTGCATCTCCCAATCACAAAAATTCCTTTTAAAAGAGGGAGCCCAAGAAGAAGATACCCTTCAACAAGGTATTAATCTGCTACTCATGCTTCCTTGTTGCTAGCTGTTCTGAGCAGATCCAGTCCAGAAAACTGTCTTTTAAAACCCTATCGGCCTATACTCACACCAAGGGTCTTTCCAGAACCTTATTCTACGACCATTTCCTAACTGATACTTAAAGCCCTTTGTAAAGTGAGGGGAAACTTTATACATACCCCTCTAAGCGCCACAATCATAGGCCAACTGAGAACCTTCGGCATCCCACCCATTATCACATAATCCATATTTTTCTGCAATCACATTCCTCATAGATCATTAGGTTCTGCAAAAAAACCACCAGAACTATCTATCTGAGAGTGTTCCTAACTCAAAGGTCTTAATCCCTTGTACTAGACCCTATCCATTTTCTCTTTCAATCTTATTAATTGACTCTAATCTCTATGTCTGGCTTAACAGTTGAGTTCCGCAAATTCCTAGACACAACTTTAGTGGATACACATAATGAAACTAACACATCAAATGACCTTGCTTTAATTTGACATCACTATTCTGCTTGTAAATCTTTAAATAAAATTCCTATTTCACCTAGTTAAGAAAGACAACAACATCCTTTTTAAACTGATCCACAGCAACACAATAAAAATAAAGGCTTGTCAAAATAATCAGCACCTTAAGCTGATTAGACAAATACAAAGACTAGAGATTCCACTAGAATCTTCAAATAGTATCTAACAAGCTTTCTGGAATGCGGTATTCCTTTGAGAATATATAACATTGTGCAGGGCATTTATCAATAGAGAGAAGTTTACGAAGACTGATAATTTTGGGGTGCCTTTAAAAAGAGTTTTCCATATACATTGTAAAGGAAGCCCTTTCTTTAGGGCTTGGACTGCATTAGTCATGTTCCATGGTTTTGGGCTTACACTTAAACTTTCTCCTTTCTTATTGCATGAAAATCTTTTGTTGCAAAGCAACAAAGAAAAGAATGGTTCAAAGAAATCCACTAAGAAAGCATTAAACAAAGGTGTAAATCATACATATACTAGGTATATAAAGTTGAGCAATCTCTGTTAAAATTCCATTAAAAGGCACTTTTGCTTAAGTTTATGACTCCAGAAAAAGCTGTTACCCACATAAACCACTAAATAATAAGTTTAGTATGCATTTGATTTTACCAGTAAGGTGTCAATGCTTACATCATCAAAAGTTTGCAAGTTGAGCCAAACATTTGTTCCACTCATCAGAGATACTTGGCGCTCTGAAGTTTCTCCTCCAAAAATGACAAAAACTTTTTGAGTACCTTTCCTTTCGGGTAAAGCTCCACCATGCTGTGAGGATTCCAATCTTCTAGGCCATGTATTTATTAGGTTACAACATGACGCAAGATGGGGAAACCGCGAGCAAGCACGCTGAATGATAGTCCGGAGGATGTTAGAATGAGAAAACCCAACCTGGACAAAAGGATGAAACTTGTTGAGACAGAAGAATCACATGAAATGGATGATTAACAGGAAAGAGGGAAAGAAAGGGGAAGGGAAGGGGACACAAAGCGGGATGGAAGAAGTTGGTGAAACATAATGAAGTGGAAAACATCATAAATTATAATGTTAAATTGATAAAATGTAATGTAATGTTGCTAAAGAATAAAAATTCTAATTAATAATTCTGATGATAATCCTTTGATTTGATCTTAATAAGTTTTTCTTCATCTATCAAAAAAAATCTGATGAGAATAGCAATGGGTGAAAATTGAGAAAAGGAGAAAAATAAATAAATAGCAGCAGAACTGATGAGAAATTTTTCTTAAAATTTAAGTCTTTGCTTTCATAATGCTAATTAAGATAAGATGGGAAACTCAGGTTTTAACCTCAGTCAACATGTAAAAGTCATTCCAATTTGGAAATTTCAATTTTTTTTTATTAAAATTCTCCTAACAACCCAAAAGCTAAAATATGGTTGGAAAGCCTCAACGGTGTAATGCGTACAAAGCCAAACAGTGACTACAAAACAAAAAAAAAAGAAAAAAAAAACACAGAGACAATGAAATTACAAATTCATTCCCAGTTCTGTAAATCCCCAATCCAGACTGTCCCTTGCAGTCCCTGATTTTGCAAAGTATCAGTTAGCATATTAGCAGACCTAGGCACCCATTTGAATGAAATGATCAAATTTCTGTCTAGATTAAGTGCCTGTGTCACCAAGGGTCTGTAACTCCAAACAATGTCTTCCAGTTTCTCCATCCAAGGTACTGCTATTTTGCAATCCCCTTCCACTGTCACATCAATCCAGCCATTTGTAGTAATCGACTTGAGACCTTGTATTAGTGCAGACAACTCCTCCTTTAAACAATCTCCTTGCCCAACCAACCCTATAAAGCTAAGAATAATGCAGTTATTGTGGTCTCTCATCGCTCCTCCAAAACCTGAGGCTCCAGGATTGCCTGGACTATACCCATCAAAATTAAATTTCAATCTCCCTACACCAGGTGCCTCCCATTTTGTGCTTCTTGGTTGGTTCCCGCATTGATATCCCATTACAATTTGCCGTCCTCTTAATATTTCATCCATGGTAAATCCCCTAAAATCATCGCACATCAATGCCCAATGTTCTATTCTTACCCTTGTGAAGTTTAACCAACTCCAGACTCTTTTGTCTTCAGAGATTTGCACATTTCTTTCCCCCACAACCACCAAAAAATTGCAGCCTCTGTACAATGACAGTATTTTTTGCCTCCTTGTGTGTGGCATGCCAATGGGTTCAAAAGAAGATGGTGATTTTTGCACTCCTCAAGCAAGGAACTCAATGCATGAGGGGATAGACACCAAGTTTCTTTGTTTCCTTCGGAGTCTATCACTAGTGTTAATAACCTGATTGGCTGCTTCCCAACAGAAAAACTTCACCTTTGGGAGCACTGGACCATATTACAAAGCTTTGACTAGAAAAGGGAACATATTGGCTAAGGATTTAATGGGATTTAAAGAAAAATGCACAAAAGAACTGTCCAATAGGATTTGAAATCCATACCTTTTCATCTGCCCCAGAAAAGTCAAAGGAAACATCTTTTATATCTTCTAGTAGAGAGAAAAGTTGATCAGTTTCTGAATTTCTCAACCCCCACCTCAAGCCCAAATCCCAAGAAATGCCACTTTCATTCTTGGAAACCAAATCAGCAATGGATCTGTTTTTTAAAGTAGGGTGGTTGTAGATTCGGTTCTAGGAAAGTTTTGACAATTCCCCCCACCAAAGAACTTTCAGAACTTCACCCTTAAACCAGATATAGAGTCATACCTCAATTGTTGTGAGAAAGTAGGGAATAAAATCAGTGATCTAAAAGCACAAGGAGCACTCTGTGCCCAAGGCGAAAGGCACAAAAATGCAAAAAAAAAAAAAAAAAGATTAAAATTTCAAAACAAATCAAAAAATATTTCCAATAAAAATCAAAAAATGCAAAAAATAAAAATATTAAACATAATATTAATTAAAAATATAACTAAATTTTTAAAATATTTTTTAAAAACTATTATCTCAATTTTATTTTGGTAAACTATGTCAAATTAAAATACATAAACATAACATGTACAACATATTCAAGCATGTAAAACTCTTGATCTCTTATTTTTTTTCCCAATTGCATTACTTCAAATATCTAATGTCATGTTAAACATTATGCATTCCTGATTCTACAAGCCACCTTCTGACCAAGCCCAAACAAGTCCATATTAAGGTTTTAAATTCTTAATCCCTATAAAAAATGACTTTATAATTTTAACTATCTTTTAAAAATATCTTTTATTAGGATGAATGAATGAGAAACATTAGCAAATAGGGGGTTTTTCGAAGCACACTTGGGCTGAAGTGCAAGGCACACCAGGCATGCCCGGGCTGGGCTGAAGAGCAAGGTGCACTAGGTGCACGCCTAGGCACACCAAGTGCACGCCTTCTGAAAATGCTGTGCCTTGGACCTAGGTGAGGTGCATATCCTAAAATGCACCTCACCTGTGCACCTAGGCACACCTTTTAAATCACCATGTAAAATCAGAATCGACTTCCAAGGACTCTTACGAGTGGAATTCCTGGTTGGCCTAAAGTACCACTCGTTTAAGTGTAGCCCATAGATGCTCTTTATAACTAAATACCATAATGATTCAGTTTCCTTTCCTCCACAGCCACTTTTCCAAGAGTGACACACTCTTTTCTTTTAAATTTCCTATCCCAAACCTACATTTTCTTTGCATTTAAAAACTTCCTTCAAGCTAATTATATGGTCTTTTTTATCATCTCAAAAGTTTGGTTTTTCTATCTCTAAAACATTCTGTTGAATTCCAACTACAGTGTGTCATATAAATCAATTTTTTGTTTAGCATGATATAGTGCCTTGTATGATGGAGCATTATGCAGTGCCAGAACAACAGAGGGGCAAGAGAGCTTCCCACATCAGTATGTATTTGCATCTTAGATGGATTCAACCAGTGTCCTTTTATTGTCACTGTGAATGCATTTACATAGAACTTAGAGGAGATCCTGTACATGTTATTTGTTGATGATATACTTTTTAATTGACAATACTAGAGGAAATGCAATGTCAGAAGTGTGAAGGTTGAACTAGGAATAGATACACGAATGTTAATAGTTAAGATTGATGACCAACTGAATCCAAAGCAACAGAGCAACCATTTCCCTCATCTACTTTAAGAAGGTAGAGATTAAATAGGAGGGCTCAGTTTTACAGAAGAGTTCTTAAAGATCATCAAGAAGAAAAGAAGGGCTGAGTTTCTCGGCATGCAGCAACAAGAAGGCAATGTGCAGGTGAAGCAAAAACTAATGGCTCCTGTAAATAGGGGTGGCTACGAGCCGAGCTTCTCACAAGCTATTTGAGCTCGGCTCATGAAACGGCTCGGTTTAAGCTGAGCTCGAACCTGATATATAGTCTCGTTTGCTAATCGAGCCGAGCTCAAGCCTAGTGAAGCTCGACTCGTGAGGCACGTGAGCCTAGTATAATAAATAATTAATTTTTATTTATTTGTATGTATAATAATAAATAATTTTTATAATTCTTAATTTTTTGTATGTAAAATTTAAAAAAATGTATTTTTATATGTATAACTTTTATTTTTTAGAAAAAAACCTAGCTTGCAATCGAGCTCGAGCTTGAGCCAAGCCGAGCTCGAACTTGTAAGCTTTGAACCAAGCCGAGCTCAAGTTCAAGTCTCTAGCTCAAATCGAGCTCGAGCCTAACACAATTTCAGCAAGCCAAGCTCGAATAGCCAAGTATTCGGCTCGGCTCGGCTCGGCTTGGCTCGAATCCACCTCTACCTGTAAATAGATGTCTCTTTTTTTGTTATAGTAAAATAAAACTTTTTAAAAGAAAAGAAAAAGGAGTTACAAGCATTACACCCTCCTTGCACCTGCAGCTTAAGTAAAAATTAAAGGCTCCTGTAAATTTACAAGCATACATAGCAGCAAAACACACACATCTCCCAGCTTAAGAAATCCACAAACTCAAAACACCACAAAAACTAATCCAGCTAGAGGGCATTTTGTCAAAGCTTTTACCCACGGATAGCATGCTTTCATAAGGTGTAAAGAGAAGTCCATATTTTAAGAGTTCAGACCTGAGTGAGGCTCCAGTGCTCCCCAGAAAGAGGCTTTAGGATGGGTTTGTGGAAGTTCATGCAGGCAGATGGGAAGCTGATTAGCCTGTAGCAGAAGTAATGATCCGGCTTTAAGAACTAGAGTTCAATGTAAGGAATTTTCATCTTATCTTGGTGAAGTTGATTCATCCAAGGAGTTGGAAGGTGGTATGGGGAGACATGTTAGAGGTGCCAAAAGCCATAAGACTAGTTCATGTCATCAAAGTTTTCTTCTCAGTTTTAGAGTGGGTTATGCAGTCCAAGGCCTCAAGGAACAGGTTGGACGGCTGAGAGTTTGAGGAAAGATCAAAAGGTGGTTTCAGTTGGATTAAACATGACAAATGGTATAGGTGAATTTATCTTGTTGGGGTCAAAAGATGATGATATGACTTAGGAAAGAGAGGAAGGATTTTAAGGTGACCATCTCTAATGGTAATATTGAGAATACATATGTAAAATAATTAGGGGATAATTTCAAGGAAGAATTAGAGCAGCAAAAGGAAAATGATAAATTTTATTTGGAAAAGTCAGGCGTAAACAGAAATCAAATGTATTGGGGCTTCATGCCAATTGGTGAGAATACGTAATCAATGGGGGCTTAGCTGAGGAATTGAGCAGGTCTGGGTTTCTCCTTACTGAGTGAACTGAAAAAGTATTTTTGGAGCTGGAAAAGGGATGGAGCTGTTATCGAAAATTTTATTAAAATCCTGGAGGTGTATCAGGCATTGGGCAGGTCTGGAATTGGGGTTTTGGGCAACTGAGAGGTGGTTATAGCATGCAAGGGGAAGGGGTTTTTTTTTTTTTGATCAGCAAAGGAGAAT